TATCTATCTATCTTTCTATCTATCTATTCTATCTTATCTATCCTCTCTCTATATAATATATCTATGTATCTATCTATCTATCTATCTATCTATCTATACTATCTATCTATCTATCTATCTATCATCTATCTATCTATCTATCTATCTCTCTCTCTCTATTATCTATATATATATTATATATATATAATATATATCTGTCTTTCTCTTCTATATATATGTATATTTTTAGCTGGATAGGTAAGGAGGCGCACAGTGAAGATGTTGATAGCGAAATGAATACCTTTGCGTCGCTCAAGAGTCGGCATAGCAGTATGCGCAGTGTGTGAGCTTTGAGTTTCTGTAGGGTATGTGCAGTTGCTCTGTTCTTAAAGCAATTCAACACCTGCAAAAAATCTACATCTACAGCATCTGATGAAATCGCTGGCTTCCCGTGTCTCTTTCGCAATCTCCTCCTCTCTCTCTTTCCTCTCTCTTTCCCTCTCTCTCTCTCTCTCTCTCTCTCTCTCTCTCTCGCTCTTCCCTCCCCTCTCTCTTCACCCCCTTTTTATCCCTCTCTCTCCTTCTGTGTTGGCATCGGACAGCAGTTTAAATCTTTGATACTTTCGGCAACGGCGATTTTTGCCCCATCTATATATATATAAACAAAATTAAGTAATAGACAGAGCGTAGATGGCGCGAAAATCGCGTTGCCGTAAGGTATGAAAGATATTTTTAATATATATATATTATATATATATATATATATATATATATATATATATTATAGTATTATCATACTCTGTGATAATTCCTTATTCGTCATTACATTTGGGAATTAGCAAAACACGTGACCACTTACCTGTCCCATTGCCGAGAGAGTTTGTTGATAGCCGCGCCTCGGTTAACCTGTTGACCCGATGCTTCCGTTTTGCCGACTCTCTCAGAGCCAGCGAGGTCAACTAAGGTCAAGGCTGCGACGGATCGTTGGCTGATACCGTGTCGTGACTGTTCTACCGTTTACTTGAGCATCAGATGTGACTTGAGCTTGGTGTTAAGAATTCACGGCAAGGATTCAAATATGTATGTGTATGTGTGTGTGTGTGTTGTGGTGTGTGTGTGTGTGTGTGTGTGTGTTGTGTGTGTGTATGTGGTGGGTGTGTGTGAGGTGAGAGTGTGTGCTGTGTGTGTGTAGGTGTGTGTAGGGTGTCGTGTATGTGTGTGTGTGTGTGGTGCGTGCGTGCATGCGTGCATGCTGTGCGTGCGTGCGTGCCGTTGCGGGTGCGGTGCGTGCGGTGCTCGTGCGCGTGCGTGCGTGCGTGCGTGTGTGCGTGCGTGCATGCGTGTAGTGGCTTGTATTCGTACCTGTGGGAGTTCATCTTGGTAGCACCCACGACTCTGTTCTTCTCTCCCTGCAGCGTCAGTTTCGTCACCTCCTCCATCGTCTCCACTCCGACCTCCGTCAGTCGATCCAAACTCACGTTCTTACCCTGCCCAACAAACACAACCATATATTCACGAATGTATAATATAGACATAATCTGTAATAAATATAATCTATATTATACACTCCTGATATATTTATTATTATGTTATATTATATGTCTATTTTTTTATATTATATCATTAGTCATGTATTTGTTGAGTACCAGTATAGATGTATTGTATTTACACGTGTACGTCTACCCAGATGTTACAACACCTGATATAACCAGATATACCACCTGACATAGGAGACAGATATAACACCTGACGTGGTGAGACGTGAGTACTATAAGCACCTGACGTGCGGAGACCAGATATAAACCGCTGAGTGGGTAAGACAGATATAACACCGGGTGGGTAAACGAGTGGGAGACAGATATTAACACCTGACGTGGGAGACAGTAGTAACACCTGACGTGGAGAGTTCATGCGTGGACAGATATACACCTACGTGAGGGAGACAGATATAACACCTGACGTGGGAGACAGATATAACACCTGACGTGGGAGACAGATATAACACCCTGACGTGGGGAGACAGATATAACACGGCTGACGGGGGACAGATATAACACCTAGTGGAACAGATATGAACGCTGACGTCGGGAGATCATATATAACACCTGACTGTGAGGACAGATATAAGCACCTGACGTGGGTGACAGTATAAACACTCGACGTGGTAGACGAGAGTGAACCTGACCGGGGAGACCAGATTAAAACACCTGACACTAGGAGACAGATATAACACCTGACGTGGGAGACGATATACACCTAGACGTGCGGAGACAGATATACCACCTACGTGGAGAAGATTTATACCACCTGGACGTGGGAAACAGTATCAACACATGACGTGGAGGACAGATATGACACCTGAGTGGGAGACGAGATATACACCTGAGTCGTGGGACAGATATAACACCTGACGTCGGGAGCAGCTATAACACCTGACTGGGAGACCAGATATAACACCTTGACTAGGAGACAGACTATATTCACTGACGTGGGAGACAGGATATAACACCTGACTGGGAGACAGATATAACACCTGACGTGGGACGACAGATATAACACGAACCGCAGACGCTGACTAATGACAGATCACCTGTGGAGACAGATATATACCTGACGTGGATGCAGATATAACACCTGACGTTGGAGACAGATATAACACGTGACAGTGCGAGACAGAATAACAGCTGAGCGGTGGGAAGGACGGATATACCACCCTGACGTGGGAACAGATATAACACCTGACGTGGAGACAGTATAACAACTGACTGGGAAGACAGATATACCACGGACGTGGGAGACAGATATTAACACACTGAACGTGGGAGACAGATACCAACTGACGTGCGGAGACAGACTATACAACCTGAGGTGGGAGACAAGATTAATCACCTGACGTGGGAGATACATGACGTGAAATAACACCTGACGTGGGAGACAGATATAACACCTCGAGTGGGAGACATGAGTATAACACCTGACCGTGGGCAGACAGATATAACACTCTCGGAACAGTAAACTGGGCTATCACCTTGACTCGCGGGCGACAGACTATAACACCTGACGTGGCGAGACAGATATAACACCTGACGTGGGAAGACAGATATACACACCTGACGTGAGAGACAAGATATAAACACCTTGCACGTGGCGAGACAGATATAAACACCTGACGGGAGACAGATAACACGACATGAGCGATAACACCTGACGTGGGAACAGATGTGCACCTGACGTGGGAGACAAATAAACAACTGACGTACGGAGACAGATATAACTACTGACGTGCGGAGAACAGATATAACACCATGACCGTGAGAGGACGATATAAACAACTGACGTGGGCAGACATATATCATACACCTAGACGTGGGAGACAGAATAAACCTGGACATAGGAGACAGAGTTAATAACACCTGACGTGGAGCAGATATAACCGAGACGGAGATCAGTAAACCTGACGTGAGGAGACAGATATAACACCTGACTGGGAGACAGATATAACACCTGACGTGGAGCGAACAACCTGAGATTGGAAGATTAAACCACCTGACGTGGGAGACATATATAACACCGGGAAGTGGGAGACAGATCTAACACCTGACGTGGGGACCAAGATATGACACCTGACATGGGAGACAGATCGCTAGCTGAGTGAACAGGGTGTTTCACATACATGTGTGCGGATGTCGAGGTATGATATAGACTTCGACAATAGATCGCGGATGGTTTCGTTGTAGATCTCTAGCATGGATATTCTCATCTTGCTTGCGACAGTCTTTCTTTCTCGACACAGCAGCAGCAACGCCTGCATCGCTCTGAAATAAAGCCAAGATGTTTATATGTTTATCTGTCTGTTCGTCCGTCCGCTTCGCCCTCTGTCCGTCGATCCGTATCGTGGCCGTCGTCGGTCCGTTTCCGTCCGTCCGTCCGTCCTCGCGGTCCGTCTGTTCGTCCGTCCGTCCGTCCGTCGCTCCGTCCGGCGTCCGTGCGTCCGTGCGTCCGTGCGTACTTCAGGGCGCCGTGCGCCGTGCGCCCCGTCTATATAGAGATCAGTGGCGCCAACTCACGATGCGGACATATTTCCGAGCGCTCGCGTATGCGCAAACTAACGATTGCGTCAATGCCGTGTCTCGGGTCGTACGTGACGGTTTTCTTTCTACTATGGCTAGGAACGGATGGCCTCTACCAACATTTGTACAATATGCGATGACACGCGGAAGATCGTTAACTATTAATCACGTGACGCGTCCATCACGTGATTAACTATTAATCACGTGACGTGTCCATTACGTAGCCAAATACACGGCATATTATCCCTGCCGTGTGTTTCTATAGGGAGATCCGACATGTGTAGCGTAACCAGACACCACCCATGCTCTCCTCGTCTCTGTTTTAGACATGTGGAGCGATTACAACAGCCTGCTTCCGGCAGAAGAACGAACGCACGCCAGGAAACGACACATTGAGTTCCTGGGAGGGAAGAGAGCCGTGGAATTCCTAGGCGGCAAACGATCAGGTAGCTACACCGTTAGTGTTACCGCCAACACGCGTGTGTCCAATGTCTACACTCACGCGAACACGCGCGCGTGGAATGTCAACACTCATGATCATGTTATTGCCGAGGGTCCTGTTGCGTGTCTTTTCTATTGCTAGATATTTGTTTTAATTTACTTTTCGTCTATTTTTTTTTGGCTATTACGATCTCATCCGGTCAAAGCCTACTTCGTACAAATATTTATTGGTAATGACACATATATTAACTGTTTTTGTATATCGTATATTATACGAACTATATTATATAGTAACTGTATTTGTATAGCGTATATCATATGCTACATATCACCCTATATCGCTTATCAACTAATAATTTTAATAGTGGGGCGGATATGTGAAAGAATTGTGGGTTTCGTGGTAAAAACACTAAAATTGGCGTATACGATGTTAAAAGAATACTAAATGATTTCAGATATAGTGCCAAGCTGAATTTCCATTTCCTAATCATACGTTCTGTATCACCACTTCCCGTGTTCACTGCGGCGTGCATAATAGGCGACTTTGTTTTTACGAAGGCTACCATCTACTCGACAACGACGACGACGTCGCCCAGAAGAGAGCGATTGAATTCCTAGCCGGCAAGCGGTCGACAGCAATGTCCGTCGCCGACGACGGCGCCGCGCAGACGAAGCGAGCCATCGAATTTCTCGGCGGCAAGCGGGCGACGTCGTCGGTCGTCGCCGACGCCGACAAGCGCGCCATCGAATTCCTCAGCGGGAAACGGTCGACTACTTCGGACATTGCCGACGCGAAGCGAGCAATCGAATTTCTCGGCGGCAAGCGGTCGGCAGCAGCACCAGCCGACGACGACGACGACGACAGCTCCACGAAGCGGGCGATTGAATTTCTCGGAGGCAAGCGCGCCGTAGAGTTTCTTGGAGGAAGGAAGAGAGCGATCGAATTCCTGGGCGGGAAAAGGTCTGCGCGTCTGTTGCCGTACGAGAACAAACGCGGGATAGAATTCCTCTCCGGTAAACGCAGCGCCTCGACTACGCGCCTCGACGACGCCATCGACGCGATGCTGAGGACCCCTAGCGGCCGAGACGAGCGCAGGCGGACGCTACAGCTGCTGGACGAGATCCGTCGCTATGACGACGCCGAGGCCGCAGACGACGCCGCGTACGGCGCGCGGTTCTAGATCCGGAATCTCGGACGCCGCCGCGGATATCACGATCCGGATGTTTTTCGGGACGATTTGTTACGGCGTTGCGAAGGGGGACGATGGGGACGCCATCTGTTGGTCACATGCGGTAATAGAATGACGCAGTAAAAGGAGAAAAAAAAATGTTTGTTTCGAGAAAAAAAGAGCTAAAACTACACGTTCGCTTGCCACGCGATGGCGCACGTGAAGGGGGAAAACGCTTGGGTGCATGCGCAACAAGCGCCCCCTAGTGGGATTACGGGAAGTGTCGCTGCGTCTGCGCTAACTTCCCAGCCGAGAATGAATCTGTGAATATAGAGGTTACCGTTGTTGTGCTTGATATTCGATTACTAGGTGCGATTCGCGTATATGCAGCTTTTATAGTTCATCTCTAGATAGCGAAGGATTAGAAGGCGGTCGCGCTACTGAGCAGTCGCGACCTCTCGCGGCCGTTAAACGACTTATTCGCTTTATAGCTTTCTTTGCTTACTTCGACCGCCCTAGCACTCACGTATGCGCAGTAATCTCCCTCCCCACAGTTTTGCTGCCCGCGTTTGATGGTGGATGTGAATTGCATGTTGGTATTAAAAAACTCGGCTGTCAAATAATAATAAAGGATGCAAAATGTATGCATATATATATATATATATATATAGTATGTGAATACACTCTGACGGCTGGAACACAGCTCTACATTGTCAGGCGCAGCAGCAGCTGAAGCAGCATAATAGTTACTAGTTAGGCTTGCTCTGGAGTGGCGAGGTTACACATTTAGCCGCGAGCCAAACGCCGGCGATTGATTCACTACAATCTCGTGCGTCATCGACCTTGAGGTAAAACGGAGGCAGTCAAAGCGGCGTAGATCAGCTTTTAGAAAGAGGCATACCCTCACAAATGCAGTGACGCTGAATAAGTGCCATCGCAAATGTGAATATGTCTCGAAGCCGCATGTCGAGCCTGGAGTGTGCGATGGCGTACGCTTATGAAAAATATATCGCATATATATCATTAGATGCTATACGAGAGTCATACACGATGCATAATGAATAATAAGCAGCTTGGCCAAGCTGATGAGTCACACGGTGATACCTGCAGTCGATGTTTTTCGTGTATATGCGAATAAAGCAATACCAGAAAATATTTTCTAGTAAGAAAGAGCTCATAGTCGGCTTTGTCTTGCTGCTATTGTCAGCGTAATCGTTGACCGGGCCGGTGACCTTGAGACCTCTCTACCGGAAACGACCCAAGGTACACGAATCCAGCTCGATACAACAGATACCTCCGCTAATTGTTTGATAGAGATATATAAATAGCCTATATCGGTTTCTAGGCGTTTAGCTCTGCCTTCAACGGAATTCAAGGAAAACATTGGCGGTAATACGCGAAACTAAGAATAACGCGAGCGGCACAATCATTCAGCCGCTAGCTACAACTATCTACATGGCGGCTATCGAACATGCGCCCAAGAACATGGGTTTACCGACAACGAATGGCGTCTCGGCACATATTAGGCCGAATTTGCTGCACGCAACACGTGCATAGCCGACACAAAGCGCATGCGTGTACTATATGTAAACACTATCACCGCGCGCTTCTGAGGCTTGTGGGCTGGATGCTGAATGCAACAGGAGCAGCGTTAACGTCAAGCGGTGCAGCGCGGGGATCGTTTATCTCTGGACCGCTCGGCTGACATGACGGCGGAGTGAGGGCGCCTCGTCACGTTGGCCGACATGGCCGGGCATCCCACGCGGCCGACAATATCCTGTCATTAGCGACCGTGTCGGGCGAGTCAACAGTTTGTAAACGACCACGACGGCAACAACCGTGGCCACAGCCTGCAAATTATTACGGTCTTTGTACGCAGGAAAGAATCGGAGAGACCATAGCAAGCTCTATACGTTGGTCGCGAGGCGACAGTCGCAGCTGCAATCCAGGAAGGTTCTCGTGCTCTCTCTCTCTCTCTCTCTCTCATCTATCCTCTCGTCTCTCTCTCTGCTCTTCTACATCCTCCTCTCCTCTCTCTCTCTCTCTCTCTCGTATCTCTCTCTCTCCTCTTCTCTCTCTCCTCGTCATCTCTCTCTCTCTCTCTCGTCTCTCCTCTCTTCTCTCTCTCTCGTCTCTCTCTTGGTCATCTCTCTCTCCTCTCCGCCTCTTCTCCTCTCTCTCATCTCTCTCTCGCGTCTCTCTCTCTTCTCCCTTTCTCGGCGCCGCTCTCTCTCTCTCGCGTCCTCTCGTTTCGGTCTCTCTTCTCTCATGACAGTTTCTCTCGTCTCTCTCGCGTCTCTCTCTCTCGCTCTCATCCTCTCTCTCTCTCTCTTTTTTTCTCTTCTTTGATTCAATCTCAATTCTAACTGCTTCTTACAATTCAATCCACCGCCGAATCGCTACGGAAGCTGTGACGTCATCGCGAAGTGTTACGTCATCAGCGATCTCTCTTTCTCTCTCCATATATTATATATATGTTATATGGCGCACACACTCGTACGAGCACACGCACGCACACGCAATGGCAAAGACATTGACCTGTTTTTGTGAGGTTTAAAACACCGGAATATTATAAATACGTGTGAATTGTTAATCTTTTCAAATTAAACCAATCTTACTTATTTACATAAACAATATTAAGAAATACAACGTAAACCATGAAATAGCAATGTCATAATATAATATGAATCCTTTATTTACTTGTTTTGTCTGTTCGTATTATATTTCATAGTTCTATACACTAATTTGTGGCACGTGATATAGCAATTGTGCATACATTGTTTGCATACATTGGAATTCTCGAATCGAAGTCATCGCTTTATATTATGATAGTAGCAAGAGTGCACGATATATTACGTTATCGCTACGTCATCGTTACGGTTTATCATAAAAAATAACATAGATGTTTCTATATGTTTCTATGCGTTTTATCGTGTGAGCGGCTTAACATAACTAGATGTAACGGCTCTTTCTCTCTTCTCCTCCTTCTTTCACGCTCTAATTCCCTCCCTTTCTTTTTGTCTCTCCCCTTCTCTCTCCCCCTCTCTCACACACGCGTCCACGCCACGCACACACGCACGCACGCACGCACGCACGCACGCACGCACGCGCGTTCATCAAGTATTACTACTCGCACAGACGGCAGTAATGAGAGAAAATAGATGACAATGATGCAGAAGCAACAACCAAATTATAATCATGTACGTGTTTAATAGGCATAAGTATAGCATAAGCACACCACACACCACCGCCATCCACACACCATCACCATCACCACCCCACCACATCACATCAATCACCCAGCAGTAGCAGCGCCAGTAGCCGTATAGTAGCAGTAGTTAGTGTAGCGCGTAGTGGGTGTGAGCAGAGTCAGTAGCGCGCAGTGGTGCGCCGCAGTAGCAGAGCAGTGTAGTAGCGTAGTAGCAGTGCAGTAGTGTAGTGATTTAGTAGCAGTAGTGTAGTAGCCAGCCAGCAGTAAGACTGTAGCGTAGTGCAGTAGCGCGCAGCCAGTAAAGTCATCGTGATTGGGAATAGCTAGAGGATTTTCATGTTACGACATTAAACACACGGCAAAGAACGATCTAAATGATGGACGGGTATGTGATGGTTAAAATTGCACTCCTGCCGCGCCTGACTCTGTGACGTTCGCATGAACGTATCTCGGACGTTACTTGATCCGCGTCTTTGCGCGACGTTCTCGGTTGCCTTTTCGAGCAGCCTGGCGGGCTGGGTTGATCCGCTGCGCGTTGTAATGGTTTTTTTACGAGGTTTCGGAGTCCGAGAGTTTGAAGTTGACAGAACAAGGCACCGCCCTGCATCACGCGCGCCCTTCCTGTTTAGATCCGCAGTCACGTATTGCCTTATCTATCCATGTCATTACCTATTTTATCTCCTCTATATCTATCTCTATGTATCTATTTATTTATCTATCTAATCTAATCTTTCTATCATCTTATGTATTATTTATTTTTATCTATCTATCTATCTTATCCATCTATGTATCTATTATTTATCTATTTCTATCCTATTCTATCATCTATGTATTTTTTATTTTATCTATCTATCTTTATTTATTTTATCTATTATCTATTATTATCTATCTATTATCTATCTATGCTATCTATTATCGTAATCTATCTATCTATCTTCTATCTATCTTATTCTATCTATCTATTATCTTTATCTATTGTATGTTATTTCTTATTCTATCTTCTACTATCTATTCTATCTATTATCTATCTATCTTATCATCTTTATCTATCTATCTATCTATCTATCTATCTACTCTGTATCTTTTATCTATCTATCTATCTATCTATCTATCTATTCTATGCTATTTATCTTTATATCTTCTGTCTATCTTTCATCTTCTTATCTATCTATCTTCTAATCTTCTATCTATCTATCTATCTTATCATTATTTTATCTATTTTTATTTACTATATCTATCTTCTATCTATTCTATATATTATTTATCTATCTAATCTATCTTATCTATCGTATTTAGTTATATCTATTTATCTTATGCTATCTATCTTTTATCTTATCTTCTATCTATCTATCTCTCTCTCTATTTATATATATCTAGTCTATCTTCGTATCTATCTATCTATCTATCTTCTATCTATCTATCTATCTATCTATCTATCTATGTATCTAGTCTATCTATCTCTCTCTCTCTAATATATTATATATATATATTAGTTATATAGTATTATCTGTGCTCTCTCTCTTATATATTATGATATATTTTATGCTGGATAGGTAAGAGAAGGGAACAGTGAGGATTTGTGATAGCGAAATGAATACTTTTTAGCGTCGCTTCAAGAGATGGCAGCGAGTAGGTGTGTGAGCTTTGGTTTCCTGTAGTGGTATGTGACCGTTGCTCTGTCTTAACGCATTCTAACCCTGCAAAAACATCTCCATCTCCAGCCTCTGATTGAATCGCTGGCTTCCCGTTTGTCTTCTTTGCGCTAATTCTCTCCTCTCTTCTTTCTCTCTCTTTCCTTCTCTCTCTCTTTCTTCTCTCTCTCTCTCTCTCGCTTCTTTCCCTTCCCTCTCTTCTTCATCCCTTTTTATCTCTTCTTCTCATTTCTGTGTTTGGCTCGGACAGCAGTTTAAATCTTTGTACCTTCGGCCCAACGCCGATTTTTGCCCATCTTTTATATTAATTAAACAAATATAAGTAATAGACAGACCGCTGATGGGCGGCTGAAATCGCGTTGCGTAAGGTATGAAAGTTTATATATATATTATATTATATATAATATATATATATATATATATTATTATTTATATACCTCTGTGATAATTCCTTATTCGTCATTACATTTGCGACAATTAGCAAAAACACGTGACCACTTACCTGTCCCAGTGCCGAGAGAGATTTGTTGATAGCCGCCGCCTCGGTTAACCTTTGACCCGATGCTTCCGTTTTGCCGACTCTCTCAGAGCCGGCGAGGTCAACTAAGGTCAAGGTGCCGACGGATCGTTGGCCTGATACCGTGTCGTGACTTTCTACCGTTAACTTGAGCATCAGATGGACCTTGAGCTGTGTAAGAATTCACGGCAAGGGATTACAATATGTATGTGTATGTGTGTGTGTGTGTGTGTGTGTGTGTGTGTGTGTGTGTGTG